CGGTGGGATCTGCAGCGCACCATCAGGGCTTCCAGGCACCAGAAATACATTCATGCAAACACCAGGGGGAGCCAACACTTGCAGTGTAAAATCACCAAGGGTCTCCTTAGAAAGGAAGGCTCATAACAAAATGAGCCCAAGCAAAAAGATTTTGTATAGTGCAGTATCGCTTTAATATAATCAAGGGTTATCAGAGATAAAAGTAGATAAATTCACACTTTGTATGTAATGACAATAGTAAAGATGGCCACCGGCCATTCAGAGGAGCCACGCGGTATGACGTCACTAAGTAGGGCAGCTTCCTAACATGTTTCGTGCACCCGCACGTTATCAAAGGCTTTCTTGAACTTGCCAGTAAGTCTGTTTTTCAGCAGAACAAGCTGTCCTGCAGGTGGAGCAGTTAGAGGGTTGGGTCAAACCATTTACCACTGACAGGTGTGCTTTCAATGATCAGCTTTTATTAAGGTAAAACCTTAATCCCGAAAAGAACAAAACTGTTGTTGTAACTGCATAAAAAGTGTTAGCTGGAGTTCAGCTTCAATTTGTCAGTGTATCTAAATCTGATCTGCATCTGACATTATCCTTCCCCAGAATGACAGTGCTGCTGTTCTAAGGTGCTCCTTTATCCAGAGTGTAGGCATCCTAATACATGACAGTATTACTGGCCAGATCACCAGGTGAAAACAGAGGGAAAAGTCTAAAAAAAAAAAAACTAATGCAGCCACCACATCCAATGGTTGGTAGACTGCAGTATATTACATTTCTGATTTTGGGTTTAATACCACTTTAAGGATCGTGTTCCACCCTTATCATTCAAGGGACACTCTACTAGATCTGTAATTACTTCTTGGGCTTATTGGCATCGGCTAACTGTTCCACAGATTTGCAAAGTTGAACCCTGATCTTCTGTTTACATGTTCTAATTATTTTCCAGGTGGATGTTCAGGCTTCATCTTAAGTTAGTTTTAGTTTTAAGGTCCTTCAGGCAACATTTTGAGCTGCATGCTGTCCCCAGTTTGTTTTTGTTATTTGGTCTGGTCTGCTAGCATTTTTAGCTATTTAGCCCCTCAGTTGGATTGCATTTGAATGTCTCAAAATGCCTCTGAATTCAGAATTAATAAAGGAAAGAGAAAGAAAACAGGCCCCATCCCTCTGTGCTTATGGCCTATTCTGTAGTACTTGCTACAAAACAGAGGCATGTTAGTTGTGGAAGGGGTCATACATAGCTAGTTACTATTTTTTGTTTGGCAGTGTCCAAATCCTCCTAAAGTTATCTCTAAATCCTGTGCCCTTCAATAAAATTTCAAGAAAAGGATTTTATGGTAAGTACAGTAATTTTTTTTTAGCTGTGGAGAAACAGAGAGAGGGAACAGGTGTTTCTGTATTTTATTTCTGTCTCCACTTTAAATAAAAATGCCAAGGAAGACAAACTTCATCCCCCTGTTCTTTGTGACTTTGGCTGTAACAATGCTGTTGCATTTAACCACTTGCCGTCCAGAGGATTTACCCCCCCCCCCCCCCCCGTTACTGACCAAACCATTGTTTGTGATACGGCGCTGCATTACTTTAACTGAAAATTGCGCAGTCATGCAAATAAAATTTATGTCCTTTTTTCCCCACAAATAGAGCTTTCTTTTGGTGGTATTTGATCACCTGTGTGCTTTATTTTTTGGCATCGCTATGAACTAAAAAAAAACACAATTTTGAAAAAAACCCCCCAATATTTTTTGATGTTTTGCTATAAAACATATCCAGTAGAAAAAATTAAAAAATCAAATTTCATCATAAATTTAGACCAAAATGTAATCTGCTCATGTCTTTGCTACAGAAAATCCCAATACATGCAAATTAATTGGTTTACGTAAACGTTGTAGTGTCTACAAATAGCTGTGTATATATACTGGATTTTTTTTTTGTCTATATATACTAGTAACGGTATCGATCAGCAACTTGTAGCGGGACTACAGCGAGCATTCTGACACTGGATGGGAACTGAATAACTGCCGCTGACATCCCAATGACACTAATACAGTGATCAGAGCTAATAAAAAGCACTGACACTGTACTAATGGCACTGGGCAGGAAAGGATTGACATCTAGTGTGATCAAAGGGTTAACTGTGTGCTTTTTTACATCATGTACTGTGTGTGTTTCACTAGGGAAACATGCTGCTGTGTATTTTTCTGCTGTGCAGAGAAATGCACAGCAGCACATCCTTGCTGGTAGGAGAGAGACTGTGTTGTTTACACACAGGTCTCTCGCCTGTCAGCTTAACTCGGCGATGGCCGGATGTCAGCAGGAAATCTCCAGCCGGGACTCAGTGATCGACATCCTTAGCACTCCCCCTACCCGGATATGCAAATCACGTATATATACGTGATGTTGCGCAGCCCTGCCACCCTGTAGCAGTAGTTCTACTATAGAGCAGTGGGAAAGCGGTTAAATAAAGCTTCCACATTAGCTGTTAGGGTGTACATGCTGGTTTATTATTTATGGTCATCACATATGACATTAGCAGGTACGTTTGTGTACACTATGCCCCATCCCAGCCTCCTCAGAGGTTACATTTTCAACCTCGTGGCCTTATTAATTGGTTTAAAAACACATCACCTATGTTGCAAAGGGTAGGAATATCAGTAGACCTAGGACACAATGTAGGCCTCCTTTGATGCCATGAAGATATTTGATAAGCCTGTGGTTTCTTTGGCCTTGAAGAAAGGGCACTGTAAAATTAGGAGACTACATTGGGGAAGATTTTCCTCAGTCAGTGAAACTTGTATGAAATAATTAATTTCCTCCATGGATATGCTCTTAACAGGAGTCTGTCACCAAACATGTATGTTTTATTGAAATAAGAGGGGGGTGCAGCCCTAGTAAAAATTAATAAGGATGATAAATAAATAAATTCATATATAAATACATACAATAAAGTGACACTGCAAGTATATGTGCCACTAAATTATGTGGCTAATATCGTGAAAGAGATGCACTATATCAAATAAAGATTAAGTCCAAAGTGACAATGTGAGTGAGATCTCGGATGATCTTCAGACATCCAATGACTAAAATCGTGGATGAGGTGAGAAAATAGGGTATAGATTGCGCACTCACCAGATACGCAATCTTTATGCGCATTTATGTAGTATAACAGAAATATGTCCTCACATAGGTCTGGTCAGATCTGGTCATGTGTCCTCCACTGCCTCATGGTTCACACTCAGGATTCACATTTAGGGATGACCGCTCTGTGAATGTAGCCAGCTCCCGCAGGAGCTCAAAAAAACACAGGGGAGGCCAGTAGTGCAATAGGTCATGGATATTTATTCCAGAATCAAGGCAAGTGAGCATAGCAAAAGTAACAGGGCAAATACTGACCAAATCAAGATGTCTGCCGGGACCCCTTGTGGTGCCGGCGGTGTGGCGTCAACCCGCTGTAACTCTACCCTGACGCGTTTCGAGCTAAAGCTCGTAGTCATAGGGTGTTCAGCTTACAGCTGCTGACGGTACTCTGTCCTTTAAATAAGGGAAATGGCGCATGCATCGTTATCACGCGCCATTTTCCCGGTGTTGGATGTCTCCGCGATAGGCGCCATTTTGGCGTAGCCTAATAAACCGCGCATGCGCGAGCGTGCGGTAAATGAAATCGCGGAGACAAGCAAAACAACACAGCGAGGATCACCAGGGAGGAGTGTGTTACCATAGGAACAGTTCCTCAAACACACCCATATCGTACTTCAATTTACGCTGGGTCAGATTAAATTATACTATCTATACCCAAATAGACTTTATTACTCTGGTCCAAAGGTAATAATAGTGCTTTTAAAATTTCCATATGAATATATAATAATATGTATTTCTGGTAATCCTATAAATATAACGATCAGTGATTTCACAACTCTTATAGTGTCAAAATATCCCATAAAGGTAATTAATAATACACATCATTGGGTACATCATAATTAAAATAATGTCTATCCAATAAGTAGGATGAGTACTATTAAATATATTAAAAACAAGATTATAATTATAATAATAGTGTCTATTCCTTCAAAGCGAACATAATAATGTCCATCATGTAATGAATAACAGATGGATAATATGAAATCACAATGGAATAATAAAATCAATCCACTAGAACATACTGGTAAATCCATAAAAAGAAAAAACTATATATATACCTATATTAATAGATTAGTGTCTATATTATAAAGGTATGCATATATAGAAAAATGTATAAAAATACATATATAAAATCACACATAATTAGTATAAAATACGTAAAAATTATATAGAATGTGTATAAAAAATATATAGATAAAAATGATGAGGGGTCCCGGCGGACATCTTGATTTGGTTAGTATTTGCCCTATTACTTTTGCTATGCTCCCTTGCCTTGATTCTGGAATAAATATCCTTGACATATTGCACTACTGGCCTCCTCTGTGTTTTTTTGAGCTCCTGCGGGAGCTGGCTACATTCACAGAGCAGTCATCCCTAAATGTGAAACCTGAGTGTGAACCATGAGGCAGTGGAGGACACATGACCAGATCTGACCAGACCTGTGTGAGGACATCTGATGTTTCTGTTATACTACATAAATGCGCACAAAGATTGAGTATCTGGTGAGTGCGCAATCTATACCCTATTTTCTCACCTTGGACGTCTGAAGATCATCCGAGATCTCACTCAAATTGTCACTTTGGGCTTATCTTTATTTGATATAGTGCATCTCTTTCACGATATTAGCCACATAATTTAGTGGCACATATACTTGCACAGTGTCACTTTATTGTATGTATTTATATATGAATTTATTTATTTATTATCCTTATGAATTTTTACTAGCGCTGCACCCCCCTCTTATTTCTGTTCATCTGAAGGTCTTATATGGTGCCTTTGGTGCATAGCCGCTATTATAATATATTATCTTAGCGCTCACTTATTTATATATTTTTAGTATGTATGTTTTATTGCACATATAAGAGTGAGTCTGTCACCAGGTCTATGATATGGAACTGGATGAAGAGTTTTATCTGCCTCAGAACAAGAAAGAAAGTAGACAAATTGCACCAGAACTATCAGACCTTATCATCTATTGCCAAGCTGTAAAGTTCCCTGGTAAGTAGAATCATCTATCTTGTCATTTTCTGGCAGCCTTCTCAATGTTGACTGGAGAGTGCACTATGTCTGGCTGGATGCCACATCAATAAATACTTGCTCTGAACATCTTCTTTTGAAGTGGAAGAAAGTCTAGATTAGATTTGCATTTAGGTAAGGGCACTTTTTATTAGCATTTTGTGTAAATAAACTGCTACAAGACAACACCAAAGACTAGACAAAAGAATTACTGTCCAAAGCAACTATTCAAGAATAAATACACAACGAGGGAATTCAAATACACAGACCTTGTAGTAACATGGGAAAAACTGCTGGACATCATGTTAATAGGCATGCTTTTCAATAACAAAATGTATCAGTAATTAGTATAAATAATAAACACATTTGAACAATGTTTATGACAAGTCTAAATAAATCCCAGTTTTCACTCTTAATTGGAGTTTTCTTTTAATTAAATTATAACCAGAGATATGAATTCCTCACTCTGGATTGTATCACAAAAACAGTCTAATATGTGTGGAATTGTGTCATTGTGTTGTGTCTTGCACTGACACATTTTTTTCAGCTCAAAACAGTTTTTATTCTATTTGTGTGTTTATATACTGTATACCTGCTGTAAATGTGTTGTTCAGGATACATAAGTGGTTACAGATTTATCTCTCCAGTCATGATTCCTTAAAGCAGTACAAAAAGCAAATATAAAAATGTAATATATTACAGCTTACCAATCATTAGATGTAGTGGCTGCATTATTTTTTTTTTTTTTAGCTTTTCTTCTCTGTTTTTCTCCTGGTGATTTGGCTAGTAACACACCTGTATTAGTGAGACACCACTTTGGATGAATGAGCACAGGGGTACATTTAGATAGTGGCATTGTCAGTCTGGGAGAAGAGGAAGTGTTAAATGTACTAGCAGTTTTAAATACACACTAACACATTGAAGCTGAACTCCAGCTAACACATTTTTTAATCAGTTACAGCAACAGTTTACTTTTGGTGATAAAGGTCTTATTGAATAAGTAAAAGTTGACCATTATAGTCAGTGTTGAATGGTTTGTCTCATCCCCGTAATGGATACTGATACAAGAGAGCTTGTTCTTTTGAAAAACAGACTTACTGGCTAGGTCACCAGGTGAACATGGAAGAATGCCTAAAATTTTAAAGCAAATGCAGCCATCGCATCTATGTTTTAAAACATCTGCAATAAAATAAATGTTTTCTTTTGGGTTTAATACAGCTTTAACCTGGGAGACTTTTTTCATGTTAATACAGTGAAGATTTGTGTATGCCTTCTGAATATTACATATAGGAGAGCAGTGTCAGATTTGGCCAGGGGCTGAAGTGGTCAAATACTACTGCATGTAGCTAGATTTGTAAATAAATGCTGTAAGTGACAAATGTCATACATGTAAAGACTTATTATTTAGCTGCAAATAATACATCGCTTGTGCTTTTCTAGATGCCACTGCATTTTTTTCTTTTCTTGTAAAAAAAAAAAACTTCTGATTTGCTCAACTTGAGAAAAGCCTTTAAGTACCCCTAGTCTCCCATTCTTTTTTTTTTTTAAGTAATTGTGACAAACCATTATGGCTGTGGTGCACCTCAGACACTGCCAGCCCATGCCTACTTGTGAAATAGCAATTTGACAAGTTTAGAAACATTTCTGATAGTTATTTTTCAGATGTCTGTAGCTTCCCCCTTTCTCTATGAATTTAACATTACAGGCCACTTGTTTTTAGGGATGTGCTGCCTGTCACAAATCAAGTCTTCACATTTGAAAGCCCTGTGCTGTCTATGGCCAGCTTTAGTTATTATGTTATTTACATCAATACCCAGGTAATGGCTTACCTAATGGCACCCAGTTATCAGGTATGAAACTAGAAAGTAGTGCACACTTGCAATTATTTGTAAGGTAGAATGTTAATATGATGATAAGCTTGTTTTCTTCTCAATCCAAAACAAATTAGAATACTTGTTTTGTTGTCATTAACCCTTGTCATGAAACTGCTGGTGTAGTTTGATTCTTAGTTAAAATGCGGTGCCAGGATAAATAAGGAACTAAATGATCTAATGCTTATTAGGAAATCACTTCTGTGATACTGTACATTTTAAGGCTAGGAATCATTTATCAGATGGTGGCTTGTAGGGAAGGCAAGAAATGTTTACACCTTGCCTTCAACAGCTTCTGTTCCTGCAATAATGAATGATGTTATGTGATGGTAAGTATTGAGAAACCTTCAGCATGAACATAAATTGGTGCTGCTATGATAGTGAGAGGGTGAAGCTTAATGCTAACGTATGGCGTAAGAAGTGTGTTTCAACAGGGTAAAAAACTGGAATGTTTTTGTATAAATTTAATGAAGTAAAAGCAAAAGACTGATATATAAACTAGATGATCAAAGTGCATTTGACTGAATATCTGTACCCTTGAATTTGTATATCCCTTGGAAAATGAAATGTTTTAAAATGGAGAAAGATTTTGGTTTAGTGTTGTTAGATATGTAATACAATATATATTAAATAAATTAAACATGTTGAGCCTGTGTGTACAATTCTTTGAAAAAATATTGATCTGGGTTCCCAAATCTCAGCTATATTATAGTGGTCACAACATGTTTCCCTTGCTCAGTGTATTCTTGTGTCAAGTTAGTATTTTTCTTGGACTGGTGAAGATGTAAACTTCATGGAGAAAATATGGGTGGGAGATTAGTGACGTAGCATTGCACAGGACAGGCTGGTTCAGTTTCATAAAACATTGTCTAAAAAGGCTACGGAAAATGTCATGCCCTTTTGGTCTGCTTGTTTGGTTCATTAGTCTTAATTTTATGGGAACAGGCCTTACAACGTTAAATCCTTGTGGATCTGGCAGAGGAAAGGAAAGGAAAAGCAGGAAGTCCATTTTTGGCAACAATCCTGGTAGAACAAGTCCCGGGGAAACAACAACACTGGCCAAAACATCTGGAAGAGGTAATTGCTGCATATTCCATTTTGCTCTAATATTGGGGAAGTGGCTGTATTCCATGACGCATTATATGTCTTTTTGATGTTATATTCTGTTACAACATGGGTTTAAAAAAAGGTTTTTCACTAAATTTAAATATTTGTCAAACAACTACTTAAAAGGCCACTTATGTTACATGCCCTTGAACAGTATATATGCAGAGATAGCCAAGGGCTGTCTGAGGTTGGGCTCTACAAGGTAACTAGCTATTTAAAAAAACAAATGTAATTGGGAAGTTCCTATCAAACATTTACTTACATAATTGTATGCGTTTCTGTGGCACTGCTGTGGGTAAAGGGATAGACCTTTGTTCACCTTCTGAAATCAAACATTTACTTGCAGGCATAACCGACACAAGGCAGAGTTGGGAGGAGCCATGCTCACCTCCATTCAATCCAAGTACTTCGCTGAGTGCCATTATCCGGACTCCTCGATGTTACCACGTCTCATCACTGAATGAAAATGCTGCTAAGCGTCTATGTAGACGTTATTCACAAAAGTTGATTCAGCACACTGCTTATCAACTGTTAAGAACGTATCCAGCTGCTACACGCATTGACTCTTCAAATCCACATCCTCTTATATTTTGGCTTCATGGAATACAATTGGTTGCCCTAAACTACCAAACAGATGGTAAGTAAGCTATTTCATGATGAATTGTAAGATTGCATGCATTATTGCTGAATCTAAGTCTTTTAGGGAGACTGTTAAAGACCTAGCATTTAAAAGAAATGCTTTAAAACAGGAAACTGGAAAACCCAGAGGAAGCTAAGTTTATTTACAATGTATACAAAAATATACACATTCACTGCCTTTTTTGTACTTGAAGAGAGGATTAACTCCAACCTCCAGCAACCTTAAGCCATTTCTTGTCTTACCATTATGCCTGTCAAAATTCTCTCCCTAAATGTTAGGGGCTTAAATAGCCCTTTCAAAAGATCTGCTCTGCAGAAAGAAGCAAAAAGACTCAAAGGGGATGTCTTATTTATCCAAGAGACTCATTTCGCCAAAGAGATTTCGCCTCACATATGCCTCAATGACTGTGCCCATGTCTTTACAGCCTGTTCTTCTAAGAAAGCTGGGGTATTAATAGCTATAAGCTCTGCAATTTCTTTCCAACATATTGCAACCATAGTAAATGTAAATGGCAGATATTTGAAATTAAAATATAAACTATATTAAAATCAATAATATTTTATTCACCCTGGTTAACATTTATGTGCCCAATGTCAAAAAGATCACATTTCCTACCAAACTTCAGAAAAAAGTCAACAAAGTTCGCCAAGGCCTTTTAATTCTGGGTGGTGATCAAAATTCTGTGGTCAACCCAGCCGTTGATGCCATGGCCACCAAACGTCCACAGACTAACACTTTCAATACCGTTTTACAATCAAATGACCTGTTTCACATCTGGCGCTGTCATCATTCTACCAAACGTGACTACACCTATTTTTTAGTTCCTCATATTTATGGATAGACATGTTCCTGACAGACAAATGGTCGCTGCAACATATTCTCTCCTATGATAGGCTTGATCACTTGGTCAGACCATGCGCCGGTGCTGATTGATGTCTTGGACTCTCTGGCTTCATCCTCGCCTCCATTATGGCTGCTCAATACCTATCATTTATTGAATCCTACCCAAATTGTTGAAGCTCATGATTTACTTTTTTTCAACAAATGATACCAGTGACATCGATCACACCACGTTATGGCTCGCCTATAAAGCCTTTATGCGAGGTATCCTCCTAAAAATTAGTACTCACGCTAAAAACTAAGATCTCAGAAATTTGATACTCTAACCGATACTATTAGAAAACTTGAGGAGTGTAAAAAAATCTGCTCCTACACCTCAATTGACTATAGACCTTCGAGCTTTACGCCAAGCTCTTACCACACATCTTCTATACCAATATCAAAACCAATTTAGACTCTTGAAATCCACATCTTGTGTGCTTAACAACAAAGCTGGTACCTACATAACAAGATGCATCAAAGCCAAACAGCAAAAGACTAGTATTTCTGGTTTCATTGATAGAGATACCCAAATGCTTGTAATAGATCCAAAACAAATCGCTGAAGCCTTTAAGAAATACTATGCCTCCCTTTATGACCTTCAGTCAGACCCTACAATTATACAGCCAAACATCAATCATATTACTTTCTGACACCTTTTAACCTTCCATCTCTCTCTGCCTTGCAGATTACCTCCCTTTCTCAGCAAATTACTACTAAGGAAATATCCACTGTAATTACAGCACTTCCCCTATCCAAATCACCAGGCATTGATGGCTTTCCCAATGAATTCTATAAACATTTCATTGCCCAATTAGCCCCTCGCTTAAATAATGTTTTTAATGCTGCCATGACACACTAGGTCACTTCCCTAAAGAAATGCTTCAGGCAATTGTAACTATCATACCTAAACCCAATAACAATCTCACCCTTCCCAGTAACTCTAGGTCATTTCATCATTAAACGCTGACATTAAAATTTATGCTGAAATAATTGCTTAAGACTTCTTGACCTTCTACCCTCTCTAATTAATCCTGACCAAGGTGGTATTGTCAAAAGTAGGCAAGCACCAGATGCAACTAGGCATATCCTTAACATTTTTTGTTCTGTTGAACTTCATAAAATCCCTAAACTTTTTCTCATACTGGATGCAGAAAAAGCCTTTGATCGAGTACACTGGGGGTTCCTAGAAGCCACATTATGCAAATTTGGATTTACAGGCCCCATATTATCAGCTGTTGTGGGTCTCTACTCCAAGCCTTCAGCAAAAGTATTCACTTCGGGAATCCTATCACAATAATAATAATAATAATAATAATAATGTCCACTTTCACCACTCATATTTGCACTACTCATGGAACCCCCTGGCGCAATTGATCAGAGCATCTTCTACCATAACGGGAGTGAAATGAGGTCAAACCCACAACAAAATCTTCCTTTTCGCCGAAGAAGTTATCGTAATCCTTACTAATCCACTATCATCACTCTTAAAGGTACAAGAACTCCTCGCTATCTTTGGTGCCCTTTCTTACTATAAAATAAAAGATACCAAATACCAAATTTTGGGTATAAATATCTCAACGCCACTGAAACAATCCCTTTATAATCCTCCTTTCCATACTGTATATGATTCAATCAAATAGTTTGGTATCAACATCCCTAACTTGACTACTAAACTATATGAGTTAAACTTTAAACCCATCCTCTCATATTTTCCCCAAGAACTCTGAAACCTTACTAAATTTGAACTTTCTACAATTGGTAGAATTGCCTCTTTCAAAATGCTAATCCTCTCAAAAATTCTCTACTTCTTTAGGACCATTCCCATTCAAATACAGCAATCCTTCTTCATTAAACTATGCTCTATTTTAAACGACTATACATGGAAAGGGAAAACCTTTTCAATGTTCCTACATGAATATGACTAAACATAAATCCATAGGTGGTGATTCCCTTCCCAACATATATCATTATCTAGTGGCCTTCTTAGACCAGACGCGTTTCTGGTGGAATCCACCTTCTGACAAATTGTGGGCATGTATTGAGGAAAATGTAATGCCCTGCTCCATAGCAGCACTCTTTTTACTCTCAGCCCTATCTGGACACAAACTTGGAGTCTCCCGATATCCCTCAATTCTAGATACCCTCACAGCTCTAGCACAATTAAGAGCTTTGTCCCAACACCAAAAGCCTCTCAAACTTTCCAAATGCCCATTGACATTAATGAGTTACATATCCCTCAACTAAATTTGCACTCCTAGGTTAATCGAGACATACACTTTCTACAGGACTTTTTTACACATACTCATATGAAATCCTTTAAAGAACTACAAAACATATTCCTAATACCTTCTCGAGACTTCTATAAATGCCTACAAATTCGGCATCTCCTACAAACGACCCCTATACCTACCACTACCCATATAGATATATCTCTCTTTCAGTACTATAAACACCTTTCATCACAGAAGAAAGGACTGTCTTACTTTTACAACAGATTGCAGAATAAATCTTCATTTGTGAAGCTCTCTTCCTTTCTGTAATGGGAATGTAATATAGGAAAATAATTTTCTTCTCATACAGTGAAGGAAATAAGTATTTGATCCCCTGCTGATTTTGAATGTTTGCCCACTCACAAAGAAATGATTAGTCTAAAAATCAAATGGTAGGTATATTATGACACTGAGAGACAGAATAGCAACAAACAATTCAAAAGAAATGCAAGTCTAACAAATTATGCACTGATTTGCATGTTCATGAGAAAAATAAGTATTTTGATCCCCTTCACAAAACATGACTTAGTACTTAGTGGCAAATCCCTTGTTGGCAATCACAGAGGTCAGATGTTTCCTGTAGTTGGCCACCAGGTTTGCACACATCTCAGGAGGGATTTTGGCCCACTCCTCTTGGCAGATCCTCTCCAAGTCATTAAGGTTTGGTGGCTGATGTTTGACAACTCAAACTTTCAGCTTCCTCCAGAGATTTTCAATCGGATTAAGGTCTGGAGACTGGCTAAGCCACTCTAGGACCTTAATGTGCTTCTTCTTGAGCCACTCCTTTGCTGCCTTGACCGTGTGTTTTGGGTCATTGTCATGCTGGAACACCCATCCACAACCCATTTTCAATGCCTTGGCTGAAGGTTCTTACCCAAGATTTGATGGTACATTGCCCCTTCCATCGTCCTTTGATGCGGTGCAGTTGCCCTGTCACCTTAGCAGAAAAAACACCCCCAAAGAAGAATGTTTCCACCACCAAGTCCGACAGTTGGGTTGGTGTTCTTGGGGTCATAGGCAGCATTCCTCCTCCTCCAAACATGACGAGTTGAGTTGATGCCAAAGAGCTCTATTTTGGCCTCATCTGACCACAACAATTTCAACCAGTCCTCCTCTGCATCATTCAGATGTTCAGTGGCAAACTTCAGATGGGCCTGGACATGTGCTTTCTTGAGCAGAGGGACCTTGCGGGCACTGCAGGATTTCAATCCTTGTTGGCATAGTGTGTTATCAATTGTTTTCTTGATGACTGTGGTCCCAGCTGCCTGCAGAGCATTGACAAGATCCTCACGTGTATTTCTGGGATGATTCCTCACTGTTCTCATGATCATTGACGCTCCACGAGGTGAGATCTGGCATGGTGCACCAGACCTACGAAGACTGACAGTTGTTTTGTGTTTCTTCCATTTGTAAATGATTGCACCAACTGTTGTCACCTTCTCACCAAGCTGCTTGGCGATACTTTGGTAGCCCAGTCCAGCCTTGTGTAGGTCTACGATCTTGTCCCTGACACCCTTGGACAGCTCTTTGGTCTTGGCCATGGTGGAGAGTTTGGAATCTGATTGTTTGATTGCTCCTGTGGACAGGTGTCTTTTATACAGGTAACAAAATGAGATTAGCAGCACTCCCTTTAAGAGACTGCTTCTAATCTCAGCTTGTTACCTGTCTGAAAGACACCTGGTAGCCAGAAATCCTGCTGAATGATAGGGGATCAAATACTTATTTCCCTCATGAACATGCAAATCAGTGCATAATTTGTTAGACATGCATTTCTTTTGAATTTTTTGTTGCTATTCTGTCTCTCAGTGTTACAATACACCTACCATTCGATATTTAGACTGATCA